AATGAGATATATAGGCTCAAAGTGGACGATCCGGGTGTCGTTCTATTAGAGGTTTTACGGTAATTCAAAATGCCAAGTACAATGACGAATACTTCTGTGTAAACATAAGAACCATCAGAAGGTTGAGAAATTTCAACAGAGAAAAAGATAGGAGATTGTTTTTTATACCAAAAAGTAAGAAGTACGAGAGAGAGAGAGAGAGGATTAGGACATTGGAAGTTAAGGATAGACAACGAGACAAGTTCGAAAAGCTATTTTGAAAGTTTTCATGATTTCAGTAAGAGCAGCAATTCTAAAAAAGGGGTCTACAAAAGTCAATACATCCAAAAATGCAAAAAATCGGAACATTAGATCTTCTTGACAGAAATTATTGTTTGGTATGTTTACTGTTCTCTTCTTCTCCATTATTGCTGAAATCCTTCATCATCTCCTCTCCAATAACTTTTCTCTCTTTCTCTGTTCTCTCTTACCTCGTAACACTATCTCGCCTGACTCACACCTTGCTGGTGCCGTCTTCTTTGCCATAAGCATTCGTCTTCTTCTTCTTCTTCATCTTGTTTCAACTTACGGTCCGTCCATGTGTCCATGTGACCTCGGAGCAATGCTGTTGTGTTGTGTTGGCTACTGACCAACATGCAGAGACTTAGACCTTCAAAGTTTTGGAACTGTCTGAAAACACTGTCAAACACTGTCTGAAAACACTTCCCTTGTTAGACCTTCAAAATTTTGGCTTACCGTAAAACCTGTAATAAAGAGCCGTATCAAGTTTGAGCTCAACTATCTCGCTTCCTATAAAAGTAATCAAAAAACGGTCAACTGACAAAACATTTCTGATATTATGATAAACATTTTGTCAGTTAACCATTTTTTGATATCTCTAATAGAAACCAAGATAAATCAGCTGCAAGTATAGAGGTAGCAAGCGGCCTACTCAGCGACACGCCCACCTATACCTTGAGCACAATTATCTCGGTTCCTATAAAAGATGTCAAAAAATGTTCAACTTACAAAATGTTCATTATGATACCATGCGACCTCGGGAGGAGCTGTTGTGTCCTCTACTACCGGGGAGCTATCTTCTAAACTTTTGGATTAACCTAAAACCAATAATAGAGGCGTCCTATCATGTTTGAGCTGGTTTTTCTTGGCTCCTATGCAAGGTATCAAAAAAAAATGGTCAACTGATAAAATATCGGTGACAGTATGATGAACAGGTTATCAGTGGACAACTTTCTGATATCTTTAACATGAACCTAGATAAATTGGCTTCTACATTCACGGTATCTATCCGATCTAAAAATATCAAATGTGGTTGAGAATCTAAACGAGATACGGTAGTTTTTCTATTATAATTTTTCACAAAATAAAAAAAAAACTAGTTTTTTCAAAATTTCAAAATATTTATTAAAGTTTTTCTTTGGATTTTTGTTGGTTTTAAAGCTGTATGAGTACATTAAAATTAGAAAAAAATATAACAAAATGACAAAAAAATGACTAAAGCTGACAGGAAAAACACAAAGTCTGATGAGGATGATATGTAATTTCAGATTTTCAGATAAAACATAAAATATGTATAAATTAGATGGGGAGACACGTATGTATAGACAACTGGGCGAGGAAAGAAATGGGATAAATCAGCTGGGCGGTATTTAATCCTAACCCTGAACTGGGAAAATTCGATTCATGACATTTTGATTTGGCGGGTACATGACACGTTGAGCACGGATGGGCGGCCGATAGAAGATCGATGGAGCCACTGGTCCACGTGGCATTTGGGCGGCCGCGGTCAGGTGTTGCGAACGGGCAATGGCTGGACCCTCGATGCCCACTTTTTTGATCTGAAAATTTTCATTTTTTGAATATAGTCAATATTATACTTATTTTAAAGCTTGTTTAACGCTGATTTCAAAAATATAAGTTTTACAAAAGTCGAACAAAAATGAAGGAAGTTATGACTGAAACTCAGAATTTCGATGTTTTTTTAAGTCCATCAAATAATTTTAAAGGAGGCCAGACACCAAAAAAAAAGTTTTTCTGATATTTTGCATAGAGAACCCCCATGAGGGGTTGAACTCATGACAGGCAGCTCAGGGGTACAGCGCCGCTACCGGCTGAGCTACGGGGGGCGCGAAGGCGCCTGACGACCAATGGTCTACATATTATTCTTGTGCAAAAAATTGGAGTTGTGACCGAATTTTCA